ATTGCTAGGAATTTGTCCATTTCATGTAATTTACCTAATTTGTTGCCATATAATTATCCATAGTCAATGTTATCAGCAAATCTTGCTTTACTTGCTTAATCATTTACTTTAGTGCTCTGACCATCTTTATAATGATTATTTTGAAATCTTTGTCTAATGAAGATTACATTTGGCAACTCTCACAGACAATTTCTATTACCTGCTTTTTTTTTCCTTATGCATCAGTCAAAGTGCATAAGTGTATATAGACTTCTGTTTCTCTGCCTGTCCCATAAATTTCTTGTTGTTGGAAACTGGACATTTGTTTTATGTTTATTTGTTTATTTTTAGAGAGAGTGAGCACCACGGAAGGGCAGAGAGAGAGAAAGAGAATCCCAAGGAGGCTCAATGCTGTCAGCACAGAACCTCCTACGCGGCTCAATCTCACAGACTTTGAGCTCATGACCTGAACTGAAATCAGGAGTCAGACAACTGACTGAGCCACCCAGATGCCCTGGAAACTGGGCATTTTAGATAATACATTGTAGCAACTCGGCATGAGTTCCCGACCCAACGGAACTTGGCTTACGATTATAACGGCTTATAATCATTATTTGATTTGTTTTGTTTTGTTTTGTTTTGTTTTAAGGGCTGGCTGAAATAAGTTAGTGAAGTCTATCTCTCCCCCTCGATGTTAAATTGCTCCTCAGGGGTGGGTGCAGCTTTAAGTATACCCACAGTCACCCTAGGGTGCTATTCTCTCTTCTGTAGCCCACTTCTCCCCCAGACAAAATCTCTGAGCTAAAGCTCTGGTTCTAAAATGTGGGGGGGCACAAGGCAATGGAGTGTTTCTCTCTGAGTGACACCCCCACTTTAAGAGCTGAGGGCTTGGTGAAGGGGGGCAACTTGCCTCTCGTGATGTGGAACCTCTACCCTATAAGTGAAAGCAAGGGTGATCAGGGCATGGCACCTCACTGGCACTGCAACCAAGAGAAAGCCCTCATCCCACAAGCCGGGGCTAGGCAAAAGGAGAGAACCCCCCTCTCTTGGCTGCACTCACTGGGACTTAGCCTCTATAGCAAGTAGCTGGAAGCAGGATTAGAAATGCTAATTAGATGATCTGCTCCTGGGGGTTGCTGGGAGATAGCTAGCTAGTACTCTGACTGGGATCTGGGGGGAAAGGGACCCGCACCAACCCAGAATGTTCTCCCTGAACTGGGAAGGGGGCGAGTGGGCATGGCTCTTGGTTCAGCTACCACAGACTCCTACAGTTTTTTGACTGTTAGTAGATTTTCTTTTTTTTAAATTTTTTAAGTTTATTTATTTATTTGAGAGAGACAGAGACAGTGTGAGTGGGGAAAGGGCAGAAAGAGAAGGAGAGAAAGAGAATCCCAAGCAGATTCCGCACTACCAGCACAGACTCTGATACGGGGCTCGAATTCACAAAACCATAAGATCAGGACCTGAGCTAAAACCAAGGGTCGGATGCTTAACTAATGGAGCCACCCAGGCACCCCTAGTAGATTTTGTTTCATCATTTGTTGTAGCCCTTAGGATTCTGGAGATTTAGAATGTTGGGTTTCTTCTTAGTTTTCACAAGTTTGGCTGAAGAGTTGATCTGTGAAGATCCTCACACTCTCATGCTGGAAGCAGAATGCTTCAAAAATAATAACATTGTACATTTAATTCAAATGTTTGATTAGGAGTTTTTGGAACATAAATACCTTTATTTTTTTATTAAGTTTATTTGTTTTCAGAGAGACAGAGACAGCATGAGTGGGGGAGGGGTAGAGAGAGGGAGAAAGAGAGAGAATCCCAAGCAGGCTCCACAGAGCCTGATGCAGGTCTCGAACTCATGAAACGTGAGATCATGACCTGAACCCAAATCAAGAGTCAGACGCTTAACTGACTGAGCCTCCCAGGCACCCCTGGAACATAAATGTCTTTTTATAGGTGATCTTGGTTCATAAGCCTTTCTGAATCACTTATTCTCCTTTCTGCCTCTTCAGTCCGTGCCTTGGAGGCCTCTAATTTATTATGTATCTCATTTATCGCATTTTTTAATTCTTCATGCCTATTTTTATTTTCCATTCTGTCTGTAGCCATAGTTTCTTTGATGTCCCCTATGTTTTTTTCAAGCCCAGCTATTAATTTTACCATTATTATTCTAAAATCTTGTTCAGTTATGCTGCTGATATCTGTTTTGAGCAGTTCATTAGCTGTCATTTCTTCTTGGAGTTTCTTTGGAGGAGAGATCTTTCGTTTCGTCATTTTAGTTAGCTTTCCAGCTCTTTTTGGTTTTAAAGACCTGTTATGCTCTCTGTATCTATGAGCGCTGCTATATCCAAGAAGACTCTTTGACTGTCCAGGGCCTATCATTTCAGAGAGTGTTTTTTGAATGGTATCTCTTGGTCTCTCTTGTTGGGACCTTGGTTATTTTATTTTCCTATTCGTAGTGATATTTGGGACTCTCCACCTTGTGTACTCTGGCTTGTTTCTTGAGGTAGCCCAACAGAAAGCAGATCTCCAAGAACCTGAAGGATGGCCAGGATGGACTCCCTGTCAGAGGAGCTTGGGTTACCGGTCTGCTATAAAAGAGTATAACTCAGGAACAGCCAGGTGGAAGAGATGTGTAGGGCAAGTACTCCCGGAGAACCCCCATGTGTTCACTGTTAACCTTAAAAATAAAACTGCCAGGGGCTCCTGGGTGACTCAGGTCATTATCTCACAGTTCATGGGTTCGAGCCCCATGTCCAGCTCTGTGCTGACAGCTCGGAGCCTGGAGCCTGTCTTCGGATTCTGTGTCTCCCTCTCTCTGCTTCTCCCCTCTTATGTTCTTTCTCTTTCTCTCCAAAATAAATACTTAAAAATTTTTATTAAAAAATTTTTTAAAAAAAGAATAAAACTGCCAGTTATTTAACCGACAAAATTGGGTTTATTTGGCAATGGAGAAAATTGCAAAATAGGAAAGAATGACCAAGGCAAAACTACACAGAAGGCCCCTCATAAGCCTTTCTGACCTCATACATGGATATAGGGTAAGTGTGCAGAGGTGTTGTAAGTATGCATTTTCTGGAGCATACCACAACCTGGCTTTGTACTAGGGAAAGGTCTTTCTAGCTGATGCACCCCACAGTATAGCTCTACATTTCAAAAAAGTGAAATTGAAATCTTTAGCACAGCATGCCAGATTCCTCATAATCCATCCCGTGCCCACTTCTCCTGCCCATTTTATCCAACTCCTCTTCGTGTTGTGAGTTCCAGCCACACCAAATGATTCACTTCCCTGACGACCTGCTTTCCCATGCTTCTAAAATTTTGTATACACCCTCTCTCTTCCAGAATACATTTTCTCAATTTTGTCCACCACTGTGAACTGAAACCTGGATACAGCAAGACAGGATCTTCAGGGAAGAAGCCAGGGTCATAGTATCTAGGAAGTGAAGGACCAAGCTTAGAAAACACACAGGGTCTGAGGGGCACCTGGGTGGCTCGGTCAGTCGAGTGTCTGACTTCGTTCGGCTCAGGTCACGATCTCACAGTTTGTGGGTTCGGGCCCCGTGTCAGGCTCTGTGCTGACAGCTCAGAGCCTGGAGCCTGTTTCAGATTCTGTGTCTCCCTCTCTCTCTCTGCCCCTCCCCTGCTCACGCTGTCTCTTTCTCTCTCAGAAATAAATAAAACATTAAAAAATTATTTTAAAAATTATAAAATAAAATAAACATTAAAAAAAAAAAGACAGAGGATCTGAGAAAGTTCCAGAAGCCAGAAACAGAAAGCCTAGAAATGCAGACTGTCTTTTAGCAAGGAGAATCTGGCCAGGTTGTTACCATCACTGATACCAGAGCTTCTCTCTAGCACCCAAGCATCCCGCTGCCCCACCGTATAACATCTGAGCTGCCCACTCTAGAGATGAATTCCAGTCTTCTGTTCATCTTTAAGTTACTTGTTCAAGATTCATAATCCTTAGGAAGAGCATTTCATTGGCAACATCCTGGCCCCGCCTCCTGCAGATTGAAGTCATAGTAAAGTTCGATAAACTTCTTTCATAAAGACCAAACAGGTAAGAGCTCCCAGAATAAAAGGGTGGCTGCCTGCTAGACAAGCAAAAATCAATATGCCCATTTCAGTTCTTTCTTTGGTTGACCAGTATCAAATCACTTCCTTCTTCCCTTTATTAAAAAAAAAAAAAATCCTCTTTAAAATGTAACTATCCCTTATGTGCACATAAAAAAAATCCATGAGTCCCTTCTCAAAGGGGCAGTTTCTCTTCACAGGTCATGCGAGGCTCACAGTGCCATTCAAAAGAGAGCAGATATTAGGGCACCTGGGTGGCTCAGTCGGTTAAGTGTCCACCTTGGTTCAGGTCATGATCTCACGGTTTGTGAGTTCAAGCCCCACATCAGGCTCTGGGCTGACAACTCAGAGCCTGGAACCTGCTTCAGATTCTGTGTCTCCCTCTCTCTCTCTCTGCTCCTCCCTTGTTCATGCTCTGTCTCTCTGCGTCTCTCATAACTAAATAAATGTTTTTAAAAATTAAAAAAAGAGAGAGAGAGAGAGAGACAGCGTACGCTATCTTGAGGGAAGCTGGGAACTATGGGAAGGTATGAAGTAGTAAGGTGACCTTACTGGGGTAAAAATGACCTTGGCATATCCTGGACCTGAGGCTTCTTCATAGCCTGATGTTCATGAAATTTTATTAAATGAAATTGAGTGTTTGCCATTTTGTCTCCCCCATTAGTTCATAAGCTTTTCAAGCAGAAGCCTGTGTTTATCCCTAGCACAATGTTTAGCATGTTACAGGCACTGTTTAATTATTTGTTGAATAAACAAATACTTCATCAGAGGGGAAAAAAAACCACCTTTTTTTTATCCTGCTGGATTCCAGACAAATTTGAGGCAGAGTCCTGATTCCAGATAAAAAATTTCCAACTTAAATGCTCTTGAAAGGACAACAGGCTTATTGCTTCATCAAAACCTGCTTATGCTGCCTGTGACCAGTTTTCTTTGTATGTCTATTACAGCTTATTTTTAGCCTGGTTATGAACATCATAAGTGCCTGCTTGTCTGCACTTGGTATACTTATATTAAGTATTGCAAGTTTAACGTATCATCCAGAAGCCAATGCATACAATTGGTCACATGTAAGTACCAAGTTTAATAACAACTGGATTAAAAATTTAGATATAAATGGAAAAACTATGGTAAATGATGTACGTTGCAATGGTAAGGTATGGAAACGACAACCAAATTTGATGTATTTGGCATCAAATCCATTTTGCCATGAGAATATTTAAAAATCAGTTTTAGTCCAACTAAAGAAACACTAGAAGCCTCAGAGAGAGATCAAAATTATCATTATGAGAAGATAAAGTGATAGGATGCCTAGAAAACCCCAAAGACTCAACTAAAAAAAAAAACTACCAAAACAAAACAATTTAGTAAAGAAAAACATAGACAATATATTTTCTTTACACTAGAAATTACCACTTAGATATTGAAGAAGAAAAAATAAATAATCCAATCAAAATAACAACAAAACTATTAAAAACATGAGGGTTGTAAAAAAAAAAAAAAAAAGAACTGAATACTTTGAGAAACTACATTTTTTTTTAATATTTATTAACTTTTGAAAGACAGAACATGAGTGGGGGAGGGGCAGAGAGAAAGGGAGACACAGAATCTGAAGCAGGCACCAGGCTCTGAGTGGTCAGCACAGAGCCAGATGAGGAGCTCAAACTCACAACCTGTGAGATCATGACCTGAGCTGAAGTCAGACACTTAACCAACTGAGTCACCCAGGGGCCCAAGAAACTACATTCTTGAATGCAAATTCACAATGTCATAAAATTGTTAAGATTCTGTAAAATAATACATAGATATGATGTAATTTCATTTGGAATCCCAAAAAAGGTTTTGGGGTGAATGAAATAAAATTACTCAAAAATGTGTATGGATGGAAAAAAAGATTGTGTGAAAAGTCCCAAGAAATTCTAGAAGCCAAATAACGATTGGGGAGGTACAAACAACTTGTTACATCAGAAATGCTGTAATATAATAAAAATGGTATAGTATTTACACACTAAAAGAAAAATCAATCGAAGAACAGCGAGTTGAGAAATAAATCCTAGTATAGGCAAAAACATTATTTTATGGGAGATCACTTTACCAGTCCATATGGAAAAAGTGAAATTTAATAAAATGATATTCAATCCACACGCTCTCCATTTCCAAAAAAAATAGTAATGGGCTCTACTTACCAATGTCTAAAAAGAAATCACAGATTCAATGAATGAGCATTAAAAAAGAAAGAAATGAATGAATGAGCCTAAAAACCATTGGAAAATGGCATAAAGTATAGAATTAGTGCATCTATTACAAAAGCAAATGAGAAAACCAAGAAGTATAGAGGAAAAAGAAACACATTTCATGTCACAAATATTTACGTCTTGGATATGTTATGGGCTGAGACACCAATAACCTAAGGAGTTAATAATAAATAATATAATAATAACCCCCCCCCCCAACCAGTAGGCTGCAAGGGTGCGGCCACCACCATGGTGAGCTGAAGTAAGGCCACCTCCTCAGCAGGTCCTGTGGACCGAGCATGGAGCCACACAGGATTATTCTCAAGCCTCGACTTCTAAAGAATTGCCCTATTGGGTTTGGGGCTCGCTTGGGGTCTATGACCCCCACTTCCCTTCTCATAGCTCCCTTTTGGAAGGGCAATATCTAGCCTATGTCCGTCCCACCATTATGTCTTAGAGGTAGATAACTGCTTTTCTGATTGAGCAGGTCCACAGATGAAGAGGAATTCTACCTCAATATGGACCTTTCTAGGAGTCTCATCCACAACTGATTTAGATAATTTAGATGATGGGCTTTGGGGCTTTTTAATATGATGATATTTAGGTCAGATTTTGAACTTGGAGTTGATATTAAGATGGGTCAAAACTTTTGGAGATATTGGGATTAGGTAAATAGATTTTGTACATGGGAGGGACATGAACTTAGAGGCAGGGCAGAGACAGACTGTTAAAAGGAAGTTGAATTATGTCCCCAGAAAAGATGTGTCCTAACCCATAGTACCTCAGAATGTGACATTATTTGAGAACAAAGTCTCGCAGATGTAATTAGTTGAGATGAGGTCATATGCGAATAGAGTGGGCCATTCATCCAATGTAACTCGTGTCCTTTATAAGAAGAAAGAAGTTTAGACACAGACAAGGAAAGAAGATGGCCAAGTATACATGAAGGCTGAGGTTGTAGTTAGGCTGACGCAAGCCAAGGGACACTTGAGGCTACCAGAAGCTGAAAGAGGTAGGGAAGAATCCTCTCCTAAAGACTTTGGAAGGAACATTCTCTTGCTAATACATGCTTTTTGGACTTTGACCCTCAGAACGGTGAGACAATAAAGAAAATAAATTACAGAGCCCCTAGGACACTGGTATAGCAGGTCAATAAACAGCCACCAACTGCTGTCCTCTCATGCTCTGAACCAACTGAGGTAAAATATGACAATCAAGCAGATATAGATAAAAATTATCAGCTTTATCGTGATTACCAAATGAGCTTGCTGCAACCTCTTTCCGTGAACTTAACTTATCTACCTAGATACAGGTAGACAATAGGTCCCCCTGTGCTGGGACCAGGGCATTATAAGAGGTTGAGGAGAACTTGGGCTCACAAAGAGAAACGATTCTGCAAAAAGAGAAAGAACCCAAAAGGGCCGGGTTCCTCTTGTGAAATCATCAGTTAGATAAAGCTCTGCTTCTCAAATGGGGAGTTGCAGCTGCGGAGCACTAAGAGACACTAGAAGCCTCTCTTAGAGCAGAAAGTCCTACTTTGGGCCATGGTAGAAAAATGGGAAAGGAGAGAGAATGGGTCCACCTAATACATGTAATAATGCTTATGATACATAGGTTAAGAGGAAATAGAACATGCAAATTATACATGCAGTAAATGGAAAAGCACAAAACACAAATCATGCAATGAGTCTTACCAAAAGAGAAAATATAAAGAGAGAAAAAGATGGGTGCTCAGTGTCAAACCCTGAAGAATCTCACCCAGCCCACAGCACTAAGGTGATCTCTCTGCTTTCCAGCCTGGTCACATGTAAAAGAGAAATAAACGGGGGCGCCTGGGTGGCTTAGTCGGTTGAGCGTCCGACTTTCGCTTGGGTCATGATCTCGCGGTTCGTGGGTTCGAGCCCCGCGTCGGGCTCTGTGCTGACTGCCAGCTCAGGGCCTGGAGCCTGTTTCGGAGCCTGTCTCCCTCTCTCTCTGACCCTCCCCTGCTCACGCTGTCTCTCTCTCTCTCTCCTAGAAAGAAAAAAAAAGAGAAATAAACGTATCCAACTTGTGCAGTTGTTACTAGAATTAGTACTTGACATAATGCAAGGTGCATGTAAGAGTACTTGGTAAATTTAAAACATATTTTGTTCTTAGGAAAAACACACAAAAATCATCACGGTTGTGTGAAAATGATATGATGAATGATATTTATTCCGTGCTTAGTAAGTCTTGTTCTTGTATCATTTTTAAATGGCTCATTAATATGAGGAATGTTTCTTTTCTTTTTAATTCAGTTAACTGGTGGTATGCTTTTACAATATGTACTCTTCACCACCATTGCAGAAGTGATCTGTGCATGCTTCATTATCAAATGGATTGGAGTAGCAATACATCATCCAGAATGCAGTGAAATGAGTGAGTAATTTTGTTTCTGGCTGGTCGATCAGGAGAAAGCAGCTTCTGTTAAGGATCCTCTCTGCAGGCAAATCATCAAAACCCTAGATGAGAACAAAAGCAGTAACCTCTTTACCATCAGCCATAGCAACTTCGTACCAGACATGCCTCCTGAGGCAAGGGAATTAAAAGCAAAAATGAACTATTGGGACCGTATCAAGATAAAAAGCTTCGGCACCACAAAGGGAAAGGTCAGCAAAGCTAAAAGGCAACCTTCAGAATGGGAGATGTTTGCAAATGACATATTTGACTAAGGGTTAGTATCCAAAACATCTAAAGAACTCAACACCTGAAAAAACAAATAATCCAGTTTTTAAAAATGGGCAGAAGACATGAGTGGACATTTTTTTTCAAAGAAGATGTCCAGATGGCTAACAGACACATGAAAAGATCTTCAACATCACTCATCATCGGGGAAATAAAAATCAAAATTACAGTGAGTTATCACCTTACACCAGTCAGAATGGCTCAAATTAACAGCACAGGAAACAACAGGTATTGGCAAGGATGTGGAGAACGGGGAACCCTCTTACACTGTTGGTGGGAATGCAAACTGGTGCAGCCACTCTGGAAAACAGTATGAAGCCTCCTCAAAAAGTTAAAAATAGAACTACCCTATGATCCACCAAATGGACTACTGGTATTTACCCAAAGGATACAAAAATCTGATTAGAAGGGATACATGCACTGATGTCTTGTAGACTTGCATCACCCAGGAGATTCATAGAAGGAATATATACTGAAAAGATTTCACATAGACTGAAAAAATAATATGGGGACATGAAATGCTATGGACTGTGAAATTCAAATTTAGTTATAAATTTTTGTTTCCAAAGTTTGAGATCTTCATGTCCCTTCAGAAAGCAGAGATTTTAGGGGCGCCTGGGTGGCTTAGTCGGTTAAGCGTCCGACTTTCGCTTAGGTCATGATCTCGCAGTTCGTGGGTTCGAGCCCCGCGTCAGGCTCTGTGCTGACTGCCAGCTCAGAGCCTGGAGCCTGTTTCAGAGTCTGTCACTCCCTCTCTCTCTGACCCTCCCCTGCTCACGCTGTCTCTCTCTCTCTCCTACATTAAAAATAAAAAGAAAGAAAGAAAGAAATCAGAGTGTGACTCCCTCTCTCTGACCCTCCCCTGCTCACGCTGTCTCTCTCTCTCTCCTAGAAATAAATAAAAATATTAAAAAAAAGAAAGAAAGAAAGTAGAGATTTTAGAAGACATTGAAGAAACTAATCTGGAATAGAAGAATGGAGCTCTCTAAAAATCTATTCCTCCATAAGATAAATGAGAACACTGACAGAAGCTGTCAAAATTAACATTTCCTAACTCTGGAAATTAATCAAAGACTTGCAACAATCCAGGGAACACTTACGCAGGAAAACATGGCTGAACCTTGGTAAGAACGATGAGTTTTGTGGTTATCATTTGCCCTGTTCCCATCTCCACAGTAACCTTTAAATGAAATAACCTTCTGACCACAGTAACTGTGAAAAACACCAGCCCAACAGCCACAAGCAGACGAAAACTGAGATTGGAGTTGCCAAAAACAAAAACAAAAACCAACCAAACAAACAGAAACATTCCCGGAGCATTGTTTCTGATTAGTGTGGCAGCTCCCTGGAAATCTCCATGGGCAAGGCTCTTCTTTATTCACCTCTGAGCTCAATCACCATGAAAAGTTTTCTGGGATGTTTGTCAGAACAATTAGTGACATTGAACATTGTGTTAGCCTAAAGTAGGGATAACAGTTGGGGAAAACAAGAGGCTTACCAAAAAACGTAAGAGAAAAATCCTAGGGCATAAGAGGTCCCCTGGGAACCTTGAAACTGTGGTAATCCTGGAAATCAAGAAGGATTATTGTGCTTATGAAGAGATGTGTGCATGCCCAGGAAAAGACGTGTCAATACTCTAATCTCCCACCTCTGAGCTGACCGGAAGCTATCTGTAAACAGTAAGTGATAGCTAAGGTAGAGTTGCAACCTGTCTTCCAAGCCTGTAAAGACTTACCCCAACACACACACACACACACACACACACACACACACACACACACACAGAGCTTCTCAACAAAGCCTGGGAAATTTCTTGGCTCAAAGCAGTTAAGGAAATCTATGTCCAATCATGTAATGATCACTAAGCTAACAGAGCAGAGATGTCAGTACCCCTACATGACATGAGTACTCTACACAATTAGTTCAGGAAAGCCACCCCTAGAATAACAAAAACAACAACCAAAACCAAAACCAACCCATGGGAGAATGTGATTTCCAACAGATTCTACATTATATTATTTGATTTGATTTTAAATATAAATATTTAATTTTATTAAATTAGATTATATTTAATTTATATTATATTATATATTGTATATATCATTTTCATTATTTTATTTTAAATACTCAATTTTTAGCAAAAGAAATTATGAGATATGCAAAGAAAGAGAAAAATATGACCTAAACACTGGGGGGAAAAGCCATAGAAGAGGAACCAGAGGAAGCCTAGATATTGGACTTACTAGGAGAAAAAACAAACTCTAAATTAGCTATGCTCAAAGAAACGAGAAACCATGTCTAAAAAATCTAAAGGAAAGTACAAAAGCAATGTTTCATGAAAAGGAATATCAATAAAGATAGAAACTATTGAAAAGAATCAAGTAGAAATTCTAGAGCAGAAAAACATATAATAACTAAAATGAAAACATCACTCACAGAGCTCAACAGAATATTTGATCTGACAGAAGAAATAATGCACCAACTTAGAGATAGATCAATTAAGGGGTGCCTGGATGGTTCAGTTGACTGAGCATCCGACTTCAACTCAAGTCATGACCTCACAGTTCATGAGTTCGAGCCCCGCATCAGGTTTTGTGCTGACAGCTCAGAGCCTGGAGCCTGCCTTGTCTCCTCCTCTCTCTGCCTCTCCCCTGCTCACACTCTGTCTCTGTCTCTCTATTCTCTCAAAAATAAATAAAATTCAAAAAGAATTATAAGGTCAATTAAAATTGTCTACTCCATGGAACAAAATGATAACAAATGAAGAAAAACGAACAGAGCTTCAGACACCTTAACGTAATCAGTCATATCAAAATGTGCATAATGGAAGTTGCATAATAGGAGGAAATACAGAAAGAGAAAGCTACACAAAGAATTTTTGAAAATATATTGGGTGAGAACTCACAAATTTGATGAAAAACATTATTCTACATAATCCAAGGAGCTCAACAAACTCCAAAAAGGAGAAACTACAAAAGATCCAAACCTGGACACGTTATTACCAAGATGCTAATAGACAAAGACCAAGAGAAAATCTTGAAATCAGCAAAAGACAAGGAATTCATCCTGTAAAGGGGATCTTTAATAAAATTCCTCACAGCGGGGGTCGCCTGGGTGGCTCAGTGGGTTAAGCATCTGACTTCGCCTCAGGTCATGATCTCACAGTTTCTGAGTTTGAGCCTTGCACTGGGCTCTGTGCTGACACCTCAGAGCCTGGAGCCTGCTTCAGATTCTGTGTCTCCTTCTCCCTCTGCCCTTCCTCTGCTTGCATGCATTCTCTCTCTCTCTCTCTCTTTCTCTCTCTGTCAAAAATAAATAAACATTAAAAAAAGAAATTGGTAAAAGAAGGACATTTTAAAGTCTCACCAATATGTGCAAATGAAAGAGCACATTCGTAAATTACCGAAAGGTCAAAGAAGAAATCAAAAGGAAGAATAAAACATATTTTGAGATGAATAAAACAAACCACATACCACAACTTATTTGATGCAGCTAAAGTAGTGCTTAGAGGGAAATTCATAGCTATCAATACTATATTTATAAAAAGAGAAAAAAGTCTCAAATCAGAAACCTTACTTTCCACCTTTAAAAACTAGAATAGAGATGGGGACTGGGGGAAGCAGGTGAAGGAGAGTAAGAGCACACCTATCATGATGAGCACTGAGTAATGTGCTGAATTGTGGAATCACTATATTGCACACCTGAAGCTGGTATAACACTGTATGTTCGGTCTGTTAACTCTACTGGAACTAAAGTTAAAAGTTTAATAAATATTAAGAACATAAACTAGAAGATAAAACTAAACCCAAAGTCAGAAGAAGAATGTAGATCATCAAGGCTTTGGTGGAAAAAATGAAATAGAGAATAGAAAAACAATTAGAGCAAAAGTTGATTCTTTCCAAAGAATTTATCCCCCTCCCAAAAAGACAAATCTTTAGCTACACTACCAAGGAAAAAAGAGATTAGACTTCAGTTACTAAAATCACGAATAAAAGGAGAGATGTGACTAAGAACCCCATGGACATAATAAAGACTAGAGGACATCTGGGTGGCTCAGTCAGTTAAGTGTCTGACTCTTAACATCTCAGGTCCTGACCTCAGGGTTGTGAGTTCAAGGCCTGCATTGGGATCCGCACTGGGCATGAAGCCTATTTAAAAAAAAAAAAAAAAAAAAAAGACTAAAAGGGAATACTATGAATAATGATATGTCAACAATTTAGTTCACCTACATAAAATGGGCAAATTCCTAGAAATATACAAACTATTGAAACTGTCTACCAAGGAGTAATAAAAACCTAAATAGATTCATCATGTTGAGACTGAAATAATAATAGAAAATCTTTTCATAAAGAAAAGCCCAGTCCCAGGTGGCTACACCGTAAATGTTCCTAAACATTTAAAGAATTAACATCAACCTTATACAAATTGTTCTAAAAAAGAAGAGGAGAGAATACTTCCTGACACATTCTATGAAGTTAGTATTACCCTGATACTAAAACCAGACAAATACATTAAACAAAAGGAAACTGCAGACCAGTATCCCTTATGAATATAAATTTTGAAACCTCCAAGGAAAAAAATGCTTCAAATATAATCCAGCAACATACCAAAAGTATCAGACGACATGAGCAGATAGGATTTTATTGCAGAAATTCAGAGCTGGTTTAACATTAAAATCAATCAATGTAATAACC